TTTTTTTTTTTTCAAAGCAGGTATTTCAAAATGCTCATAGGACTTTGGAACCAGATGCTCCTTCCTTACTTTGAAGGGCAATGTGGAGCATGAGCTTTTTGGTCCTATCTCTGCTTTGCTCCCTATGTTCCCGGTTTGACCCTCTAGACCTGGAGTGCAACTGAATGACTCTAGCTCAGGCTAGAGGTAGAGTTGAGCTCCTTCCCCTCAGGAGAAGAGGATGTTCCCTTCCCCATCAGTATGGCTGATGACTGATGCAGTGCCTCTCTGGGGAGGTGCTCTGCTCCACTGACTTACCAGTCATCGTTATTGAAAATGATGAAGCCTTTGTTGCCACGGCCAAAGGCTACTTGATTGCTGTTGTTGTCCCACCAGTTGGAGAAAGGCTGACCGTCCACCACGTTACGGAAGATAACCATGTTTCTGAAAAGGCAAGGAAGAGCAGTCACTGGGGCTACAAGAGCTCTCAGCCACAAGGAACATGGAGCAAAAGCAACCGCTTTTACTTATTTTTTCCCCACAGTCACCTACTTGATTTGACGCCAGCGATGTTCACAAACCCAGTCGTTGCCACAGGTAGTGTCTGGATTGATTGTCACAGGCTTTATGGATCCATCCGAGTCACTCGGTGGTCCAACCCAGTCGTTGACATCCTGCGATCAAAAAGAGAAATTTAAAACTTGCCACTGAAAATGCAGAGAGCCTATCTGTACAGAAAATCTGGACAGAGCACCGAGTCTCCCCCTGATAGATCCAGCATGGGACAGAAAAAGCACTTAGCAAATTTAAATGCGCTGGACTGCTTCTCTGGCCCTCTTCTGGTCCTTACTCACCATGAATGTATCTTCAGCATTACAAGCTTACCCGTCCGTTTTCAAAATATCTTGGCCAGCGAAAACTTGACATCACACGTGTGAACCCGTATGGATGAGCAAGCATGAAACCAACTGCCATTTTATAAAGTCTGTTTGATAGAGAAATAAATTAATGAGATGCAGGAAGAGAAATGGTGCCAGAGAATAGAGAGACAAACAAGCAAAAGGAAGCAGCATCACCCAGACAAGGGCAGCCCCTTACCTGGCATCCCAGAAGGTTAGAATGGAAGATCCACCAGCCCCGTGTCCACGCTGGTTGTCATGATTATCCACAAAAACCAGGGCTCTGTCAGAAGGCATAAAGCCCCAGCCTTCTCCCCAGTTCCTAGCCAAAAACACAAAGACTTGAAGCTGCCCTTCAACTGCTGTATCCAGCCTATCCTGGGTAAGTCTCAGCATCTTCATCCTTACTTCAAGTAGGCCATCTTTTCTCCGTTCCACTTGCGGATCACTGTCCCCAGTTTTGCACCGTATTTGAACTCTGTCACTCGGCCGTTTCCAAAGTAGTCACTGCCCTTGATGGGCTCTCCACCCAAGTCAATAACCTGGTA